CCCCGCCTTTGGGGGGAAAAGGGGTGGGGGGCCCCGGATCCGCCACGCTGGCTGGGAGGGCGGTGTGGGGCTGCTCCCCGTCCTGCTTGTCCCTGTCCCCATTCCAGTCTGCCCCTCTGTCCCTACCCTGCTTGTCCCCCTCTCGTCTGTCCCCGTCCTGCCCCAGCCTCATCCTGCCTGTCCCTGCCCCTCTCCCGTTCTCTCCTGGCCCCATCCTGCGCTGTCCTCGGCTTCATCCTGTCTGCCCGCTCCTGTCTGTCCCCATTTTGCCTTCTGTCCTTCTCTGGCCCCATCCTGCCTGTCCCCATTCCATCTTGGCCCCATCCTGCCCGTCCCTGCCCACATCCTGCCTGTGCCTGTCTCGATTTGATCTTCTGCCCATCCTGTCTGCCCCCCTCCCGCCTCTCCCTGCACAAAACAGCACCAGGATGGAGTGGGAGGTGCCGTGCTTGGGGCCATCCCGCATCTTTCTGGGGCAGGGCCAGAAAGATCCCCGTTGGGATCTTCCCGGTATGGACTGGATTTCACGTGTTCTGGGAGAATTTTATTTGATAGCAGCACGGGGATGTGAGGTCTCTGTCACTGTCGGGATGCTACAAGCTGTTCCCTATGGAGCAGAACGAAACACCCCCCAACATTCTCTCCCCTTGCCCCCAGTCAAGATTCGAGCGCTTTGCCCAGGGGGCCGGGAGAAATTCAGTCTAAAGCAGTCAAGTGAAGAAACCAGCATAAAAAATGGTAAAAACTGGGAATCCTCTGCCACCTGCAGGAACACAGGAACTGGAATATTTTAAACTAAACCAAGATTCCTGGGTTCTTTTCCCTGAGGGAATAAGCTGCTCTTGCTGGCACCTTCTGCTTTTTAGCTGCTACCAGGTGAAAAATGCTGATTTTTGGATAACCAGCAGCATTTCCTGTGCTGTGCTGGCATCCCCCTGGGCCAAGCCAGAGCAGATCCTCCCTCCACTGCCGCAGGTCACCGACAACATCTGACGGGTGATTAAAAGACATAATTAAATAAAAGGTACACGATGTGTACAGGATGCGATGTCCTGGTGAGGCCTCGGCACTGCCGAGCGCTCAGGAGCGGCCGCGCTGACAAACACGGGTCTATTTTACGGAGCCTTGAGCTCCTGCTCGCCGGAGGGCTCCAGGGTGAAGAGGCAGAAGGCGAT